ACCTCCAAGTTTTTAATAAAAAACATATCTCCCATCTCCGCTAAATTGTCCGCGCCACTCGGGAATATGAAAGTCATTATTTAAAAAGAACGTCCCTTTTGCGTATTATTTCTGTATAAATTTCAGTTAAGCCGTTTTCTTACAAGGGCCTCTCGAGACTCCCACAGAAGGTCGTATCTGAAATTTTATTGCGGCGCGGGATTCCGCGGCTTTTTTCTCGCGCAATTTATATTTTAAATAGATCTCGGCGTGGATCTTAATTAAATTCTCTGTATAATAATTTAATAGGACATCGCAATTTCTCGATTGCTTTAAGGTGACTTTTTGTGATTTGAAAGTGTAATTATTTTTCTCCTAAAATTTAATTAACGTTCCTCTGAATTTGGGATGATTTCGTGTCTCAACGCAAAACGTTTATACATTATAATACATTATATGAATACTATACCAATTTTATGGTAGAATCGTCTTCTTCTCTTCTAGAAGATGCCAACCTTATAACTTGTATAGTATTATATTTTACGTCTGGCGTAAACGTACTCCAGATGTAAAATTCCCAGGCTGATGACGATAGTAGCGCCAAAATGTGAGACGACTAGTGCTTCGATCATCAGTCCGCCCGTCAAGCATGACGCTTAAGACAAATTCTCCCTACAACGGAAGAAGCACACGTCCAGTTCTGAACTTTAACAGAACTTTTTTATGTAATAAGGTTGACAAACGATCACACAGGCCACCTGATGGTAAGTGGTTGCTGTGGCCCATAGACATCTACATCTATCCTCGATTACGAGTCAAAAAGCAGATGCGTTACCACCCTTGAGGACTAAGATGAAATGTCTCGTTTTCAGTAATAACGGTGTCCGGTTCTCTACTCTCACCATACAAAACACACACACACACACAATTTTACGTTGGTATTCTATAAGAGCGTGGTCCTACCCCGATCGGGCCGACCCATTCATGCTACAACCATAACATAGCTGCAGCGTGGCTCTACCACGTCTAACCTATGTTAATGCTTATGGATTGTTTATAATAGGTTAAAAAATTACAACTTAAATTGATTCATGGTCAGGTGCACGAGTGTGTGCGCAAGTACCGGTGCACTATCTATTCTCTCAATGGCATCGTCATAGGTAAGGATCAGTTCTCACATTTTTCTTTGTTGACCAACCCATAGCCTTTTCTAGAGAATTTGAAGTAATTACAACACTTTCTTCATACAATAGAAGTATCAAACGAACTCACAATCCACCTGACGGCACTGAGTCCATGGACATTTGTCACCTAATTCGAACAAAGAAGGCCACGGACATGTCTTGCAGCCTGAAGTTGACAGATAGCTAAATGCCGGTGTAAAGTGTATAAAGAGTGTATGTAATGATAACAGAGTGTAAGGCATTCTATCTTAGACGTCGGTGGTGACATCGTATCCGTAGCCTTCTTCGTTGAAGTTGGTTCCAGTTGTCTACGGGTTGCAATAGACACGTACCATCAGAAGGACTCTGAGTTCGTTTTTGTCACTTTAAAAAAAAACAACCTTGGTATTTCCCAAATTACACAATAACGACACGATTTATTACGTGGTAGAGCCATGCTGCAGCTATGTTAGTAATATAGATGTAGCACGAATGGGTCGGCTCGACCGGGGAGAGGCCATGCTCTCACAGAATACCAGCGTAAAATAGCAGCTTAACGCTGCTATGTTTCGTATGGTGGGTGTAGAGAACCGTAGACCCTTTTTACTGGAAAAGAGGCATTCCATCTTAGTCCTCACGGGTGGCAACGTATCTGCATTTTGATTCTTTATTGAGGATAAATGTAGTTGTCTATGGGCCACAGCAACCATTTACCATCAGGTGGACTGTGTGCTCGTTTGTCAACTTATCCTATAAAAAAAACCCAAAGAAATATCATATATATTTTTTACACTACCACCATGTTACACCACACGGCATCTATGAATATCACAATTATATTACCTTTATCATAGTAAAGTGTTGCGCATCTCATCAGAGGTAAATCTGAAATACTAATATGTTTTTATACATTTCTCCAATTTGGTGTATCAGTGAGAATACCTACATGATGCCAGTTTATCATTAAGCGGCGCATGTTCTCGAATGTAATGTCAACGAAATTAAAAAAAAAATGTAGTACCTCGTATAGGCTAGGTACATACGTTCAAAAACCCGCGTGAAAATAGTAGGTACGTACAATATCCCTAGTGATCACAGAACAGCTATTATTGTCCTTTTAATTAAAGCCAACGTTGATCTCTCTGTGCAATTAAATTACATTAATTGGCTAAAGGGGACGAACACACCCTGGTTCCGTATCACTTATTACAAAGAAATAAGTGTCAATTTCCCTCGACAATTTCCATCCCATATTCGCGAATTGATAGCACTAATGGGGGGTTTTAGTGCAGTTGTATTTTGAACTTTATTTCAAATAAAATAGTGGCTATAAAAAGAAAGCAAATCGGTATGAATACACAAAGAGATGCTAGATATCGATTTGATACGATTAACCGTGGGTTAAGTGACGCGGTGCTAACGACTCGATCCGAATTTCTTTTTGTTATGCTTTTATCTGTTTGTCTGCTTAATGGTTTCGTTAGTTGATAGTTGCCAGGAGAGACTTGTTTATTAGATTATGTTTTATACTTACATCAAAAGATTTAAAAAAAAGAGATGTTGTTAACTGTGAACGTTAAGTACCTACTTAACGTAACGTTAGGTATTTTAGAAGCATTTAATATATATATTAGTATAATATTTTTCTTTTTTCGCCAAAGAGACCAAGCTCTATAATAATTTCAAAAGAATTTGTCGTAATTAGATATACTAAGTATAGTTTCGTACTGATATGTCATGATTTTTCAAGAGGTAATAGAGTCATGAAACACCATAAATAAAAATAAATTTATGTCGCAATAAGTTTTTTCCTAACCATTAGATAATATGCACACATTACTTACAAAAATATATTTAATTAAAAAACAATGTCAATTAATTAAAGGAATAATATGTTATATATATATGCAGGACAAGGGTGACAATGAGATCACACAATCCACCTGATGGTAAGTGGTTGTTGTGGTCCGTATACATCTACCCTCTTTTGCGAAACACAGCAGCATTGATCTGCTATTTTAGTCTGGTATTCTGAGAGCGTGGTCCCTCCCCGGTCTAGCCGACCTATTCGTGCTACAATTATACTTATACAATTAATATAGCTGCAGCTTGGCTCTCCCACGTACAAAACCTATTAAATATTTGTCATGGATAAGCTAGGTAAGCCTTTTCTAAGAAATCGAAACCACCATACTTAAAAACAAACGCGTCGAATATAGAACTTTCTCGTTTTTTGAACTCGGTTAAAAATATTACTTACAAAGGAAATTTGGTCATCAGATCACAGATACATCAAATTCTTCCTTTCACGTCTAAATTAACTGTTTGCATTTGCATCACTCAGAGAGATTTCAAACTATCTACCTACATGTCTATTAATAAAGACCCTCTGACACGTATTGAGCGAAATTAATTCCTCGGCAAGTTACAGTCGAGCGGAGAGCATTGAATCTCCGTTTCCAAACTGTCACTTTGACATCCACAATACGCCCAGAAACGTCGTCGACAAACGTCGCTCGCTCTCACCTACGGCGCTGGCCGGTGTCATAAACAAATCAAACATGGCCGGCCCGCCCGAGATATTAATGAGACAATGAGACATTAGCTCGCTACAAAATGCCTCCGTATTCGCGAATAATTAAATCGTAAAGTCCCCTCTACGCCGCCTACAGCTATCGTCTATTTACTCCTTTTTCATTCAACACAATAGCTGCTGCAATCCGAGATGTGTAATTTCCTTACGTCACTTCGATATCCTCTGCACATTCAACAACAAATCTTATTTATACACAATAAGGTGATAATTTGAATGTATATGTTGTATTCTATAAGGCGTATTCCACTGAGAGCGTTAATTTGAGCGCGACGAACCCCGCCTACCCAATATCGCGTTTACACACATGTCGGATTGTAGCGTCGTCTCGTTCCCTCCGCGCCGCTTATTAAAATTCCTCCGTCGGTAGCTGCGTCTCTCTCAGCTATATCAAAGAGGGAGAGGCGGGCCGCGGATCGCGGTTTGCGCCCCAATACTAGCGCGATTTCCATCGAGCAGCCACGCGAATCATTACGCGGAGGCAACGCGCGTTCTTGAACGCTTTCGCGAGTAACCAAAACGAAGCGCCGGCCGGTGTTCGACAGTATTTAAATTTCAGAACGGACGCACCATATTTGCAACATTGAAAACTGACAATTCATAAAGAAGAAAATTGTACACTATTATACGTTAAACCATTTTGAATTTTAAAGGTGGTGTTGCAATTTCTGAAGGATATTATGCAAAATGTTTAATGAAGTGTTTGATAAAATGGACTTTGAGACTGTTAAATTTTGCAAAAACATTTAATAAACAGAATCAAATAGAACTGTGAATTTAATTCAAGTTTTGCAATAACTTAATCTTTTGGATTCGCCAACAAGTTTTAAACATCGAGTGTTGCTGATTGTGATAGTGACAATCGTAGTGTTTAATACATTTACCTTTATTTTATTAGATACTTATTGTGTGATACAATTTGGTAACTATAAAGTATATTTACCTCCTTACGTACAATTTTCCAAACACATTTTTTTTTAATTAAAACTATTCGAAGAAACTTTATATAAATTTGCGTAACCAAATCAAGGACCGAATTCATTTAGTGTTATTAGTCGAGCATAGAACATACAAAGTACGTTCTAAATACTGAAATTTTGACTGCATATCAGAAAAAAATAACGCTAATTTATAAGTTGTTTTATAAACGCCATTATAAAAAAAAAAACAAATAAGTATAAGCATAAAAACTTACAACGGAATGACGATGTAAGTGTTGCCAGTTACTCTGCCGCATAACCCTGAAATGCGATCGAGTAGATGAAATGAAGACTTCGCTCGAATGCGATCGGGCTGAAGCCGCGGATAGCGGCGGTAAAGGACGGATATCGTTCAGCGTGGACTCACTGTTAGGTAGCAAAACAAATGCACCAAAAGAAACCACAGATACTAACAGCCTTGATGCTGAAAGTACTATAGAAAGTGATGATAGTGACGTCGATATTGAAGATGTTGAATCCAATGCTGGTGATGAAAGAGATGAGAGGGAGAGCAATCATGATGGAGAAGAGATGGAAAGTAGAAGTGGAGTTGTTGTCCCTCAGCCTTTGTTGCCGCGACTGTATCAGGGTCCGGCGCCGCCAGCGTGGCCTTTCGGAGCATTTCCGTGGATGGCACCGAACCCTATGTTTAGAGCTGGATCTCCTAATAGTAAGTATATAATTAGGCACTTAATTATTATTAATATCTAATAATTTGACCACAATACGCACGATTACACGCAGCAGGGAGAGGGCTAAAATAAATGATGGACACGATATTAGATAGTTTTATTACATAGAGAAACAAATAAAAATATGAATTTAGGTTATTTTATCCTGTACTAAATTAATATATCAGTAACACTTGTTGAATTAGTACACGTTAATATGAAAAACCAATTGTTTGATTCCTTCCTTCCAAAATTAAATGCTTCAATGAACGAATAATTACAAAACAAGATTTTATTGTAGTTGAAACAACAAACACGGTTAATTTTGTTTTGAAACATGGAAAACGCTTTTTAAGATTTTGAAAGCTACAACACACTGCTGTAGAGTCTGACAGACGTTGTTCTATTCTGTCTGGTAGATGGCGCGATAAGTTTCACCCCGAATCCACTACGTAATTTTTACGTATGAATATAAAATATATTAATAACACAGCCACAGTGCCACCTATCAAGTCCTAATTTTGTGACTTTTTTTGCACTAAACCAACAAAATGGTTTTGTAGGTTATAAATCATTTTGGTATATAAATGTAAAATTTGTTAACAACTAGATCATACCGTCACCTAGGGTCGTAGGATAGCTGTGAACCGTCGACAAAACACTTTTTGCGAATAAGACTTCAATCGTTGCATTAGTAACACGATCACTAACAGACGCGACAACATTTAATATATGTATAATATAGAAATTTAAGGACCACCTTTAGCATTTTAAATTCATAAATACGCAAAAAAATGCTATAAGACCACCACCGTATCGCAACATAATTTGCAATTTTGGTACCTACAACAAAGACGCCGTCCAATAATTTAATCTTTCCAGTAATTTAATCTAATGTTAAAATTATTTAGTTAATAACAAATTAAGTCTATATACGTCCCTATGGGCTACACAGGCCTCTTCTCAAGACTAAGATGCGGGCACGCTACTTCAGTTCACGACGACGAAATATTTTATTCTTCAAGTATGCAGGTTTCCTCACAATGTTTTCCTTCACCGCCGAGCACATTCTAAATCAGGACGAACCCAGGTTGCTAGTATACAGAACACAGCGTAAAATGCTGCCGTGTCTCGTGTGGGGAGTGGGAAGAAGCTAAACACTTTTTAGAAGCGTTTCATCTTAGTCACAGACAGTCCACCTGATGTTAAGTGGTTGCTGTGACCCATAGACATTTACATCTACCCTCAATAAAGAATCAAAATGCAGATGCGTAATAAAATGCGTAAAAAATATAGCTGCAACATGGCTGTACCACGTACTTTTAAGACATCTGTATTTCTATTCTTAATCTATGATAAATGTACATGTTTATGGGCCACAGCATTCACTTACCGTTAGGTGGAATGTTTTTTTTTATTTATTTATTATTAAAAGTACAACATTTGGTTTATAATATACATATTCCCGCAAAACTGCTTACGCAGTTTATCTGCAGGAACATTTGAGTCTCATTTACATAATAATGTTAAAGTTAAGCACTAAGACTAGCCAATAAGTATTGCTTTAATTTGTTTTTAAATATGTTTTTTACTGGTTCACGTCGAATATCCTCAGGCAGTGTATTGAGAAAGTACGGTAGACGTTTCTTTAAAGTTCTGTGTCAGTTCTGTCTTTAAAGTTGTGTGCTCGCTTGTCATCCTTACTCTATGAAAAAAAACTCATGTTAATAATAATGTCCTCCAGACCGAATTTCGATCAGTGCGGTCAATCTCAGCGCAGACTAGCCGCCTGCTCGGCACAGGATTATACCCCCGAGTGTATGCGCAAGCACAGGTGCACTCTCCATTTCCTAACTCTCGTAGTCCGTTTGGATGACAATCCGACACGAACGTAAAACGCAAGTAAAAGCTTTTTTTTAACGTGGTAGAGCCATGCTGCAGCTATATAAGTAGTATAGTTGTAGCACGAATGGGTCGGCTCGACCGGGGAAGGACCACGCTCTCACAGAATACCAGCGTAAAATAGCAGCTTAACGCTGCTGTGTTTCGTTTGGTGAGTGTAGAGAACCGGAGACCCTTTTTACTGGCAAAGAGGCATTCCATCTTAGTCCTCATGGGTGACAACGTATCTGAATCTTGAGTCTTTATTGAGGATAGATGTAGATGTCTATGGGTCACAGTAACCACTTACCATCAGGTGGACAGTGTGCTCGTTTGTCACCCTATCCTATGAAAAAAAGCTGTTTGTCCTGCACCTGAGAGGTCAGAGAGACCAACAGCTTTATTTCCTTCCCGAGGCACGGGGTAGAAACACCGTCATCTTTCTGACTCTGTAATGCTACCGACAATTTCTTGACAGAAGAACTCAATAACTGGTTTTTTTTTGGCCAGACCCGGTATCCGAACCCGGGTCTTCATGATCAGCAGTCGTTTACGACTCCTAGTCCAACAAGGTAGTCCATTTATAATATTCAAATTAAAAACTATCGATAATATTATGACGTAAGAGGAAACTGCACTGACTCGGCGAGAACTCAGTGTATGAACGATGTCGCTGCGGTATCCTATATAAAAAATGTGCCTTCACACACGGTACCAAAACAGCACTTCAGCTTTATTGTCTGAACACATTTGAACACCTAACGCCTAATGGGAATATTGTACAGTATATACTTAAACATAAAACTACCATATTATACCACTACAGGCTATCAAATTCTACTGCTAAATATAGGCTTTCCACATATTTGCCATATTGTAATGTTACTGTAGATTTAAAAATTTCACCTCTCAGTGGGTCATGTGCTCCTGGTATCTTCTATACATCCATCCATTACAGCCTATAAAAGTCCACTGCTGAACATAGGCCTTCCCCATAGATTGATGCATAGGAGGGATATTCGCCATATTGTAATGTTACTGTGGATTTGAAAATTTCACCTCTGAGTGGGTCAAGTACTCCTGGTATCTTCTATACATCCATCCATTACAGCCTATAAGTCCACTGTTCAACATAGGCCTTCCCCATAGATTGCCTCATAGGGGGGATATTTACCATAGTAGACACGCTAGACAAGTGGGTTGGCAACTGCAATTTTTTTAAAGTTTTTGGGGTTATTAAAAAGACACTGCTGGACATCTGCTGGTTTGTTTCCCTCTGTCGCCTCTTACGACACTACGGGACGATATGGGATAGTGGATATTCTTGGATCACGATAAAAACATAAAACTATATAAAATTACCGAATACCGAAAAATACCGAATTGTACCTTGTAATAGATATATATCCTTAATTTTTTGTACAAGTACGTCTTGAAAAGACATGGGCGGAAAGCCGCTTATGAATTGAAAAAAAAAGCAATAAATAAAAGATCGTTTCCGATAATAGCTTTATTTCTCAACGTAATATTACGAGTTAATTAAACGAAGAAAATTTTATATCGTCAAACCACTAGTAGTCAAACACCTAGATGTTAATGAGCAAAGAGAGTATCTCACCAGGTGTCACAGTCGCTAAATATTTTTTTCTTTTATTTATAATATAAAAAAAAATATTTATAATATGCGTCTTCCTTACGCAATTCATCATAATCATTATTATTACAGACTATCACACTCCATTGCTGAACATAGGCCTCCCCAAAGATTGCCTCATAAGGAAGATACTTGCCATAGTTGCCACGCTTGGCTAGCAACCACAACTTCTATTTTCCAGTTGTTATTAGGAAGACACCGCTGCCAATCTCCTAGTTTGTTTCCCCCTCCTCTTACGACAGCCACGGGACGATATGTGGTATTGGATATATTTACATCGCCAAATTTATTCCACAATTTTGGAATTTGCCATTCTGGTAATTTTTGTACGAGTACGTCCTGAAGTTACATTGACGGAAGCCAATGTAATTGGAAGATTTCCAAATTGGCAATAATTAATTAAAACGATTACGAAACAATAAACAAAACATTACTTCCGATAATAGCTTTATTTCTTTAAGAAAATATTACGAGCTAATATAACGATAAAAAAATGTATACTATCAAACCAGAACAACGAGAGTAGGTATCTCGCTAAATGCTATAATTACAATGTATCTTTCATAAGATACATTGCGATTATGGCATTTAGACTTAACGTGGTATTTAGATTTAACGTGGTAGAGCCACGCTGCAGCTATATTAGTAGTATAGTTGTAGCACGAATGGGTCGGCTCGACCGGGGAAGGACCACGGTCTCACAGAATACCAGCGTTAAAGCAGCTTAACACTGCTGTGTTTCGTATGGTGAGTGTAGAGAACCGAAAACACTTTTTACTGGAAAAGAGGCTTTCCATCTTAGTCCTCACGGGTGACAACGCATCTGCATTTAGATTCGCAAACGAGGATAGATGTAGATGTCTATGGGCCACAGCAACCACTTACCATCAGGTGGACTGTGTGCTTGTAAGTCACCCTATCCTATAAAAATTCCATAAGCAATTCACATAAACATTTTTGACAGTTTCATATTCATCAGCTTTCCTACTAATAGATAGGTCCCATCTACTTCTGCACATGGGCCTCTTCAAAGATTTTGTTGCGAACGCTACACTTAGCAGACGGCCTAGCGTCATCACAGCACCAGACGTCTTGCATCATTGACGCTGTTCCTCGTATATCAATTTAAATATTTTAGTGTCACTAATTACAAGAGAATATTTTATGTTTAATTTAATTTCAACGAATTGCTACAGTTAAAGGTTATTTCAAGTATTGTATGCAAAGTGGACACTTTTCTACGCGAACGCATTAACATTTGCCACAAATTTGTAATTCTATGCTAAAAATAAAAAAAAGAGTTTAGTTAGAATTAGAATCATAACCGTCCCCGGACTCAAGGTTAAGCTCGCTCTTTGTAAAGCTGCACGTAATTTGCAATAAAATATATCATTAAAATGACAAACGAACGAACAGTCCATCTGACTATAAGTGACTACTGAAACTCACAAATACCTGCAATCA